TAAATTGTAACCATACTTTAAAACAATAAATTATTTGTACATTATTTATATCCATCAAATTGTAATAACCAGTTCAAACCAGTTATTGAATTTTGGAGAAATATGTTTCACACACTGTATACAATTTTCAATTATATATTTATTAGTCTAAACACAGTTTTGTAGGCCAGCTCATAAGTTATACAGTATACACAATATACATAATTTGTTAATAATGTTATGTTGACATTTGTAAAATTAATTATATAATACATTAAATTATATTAATCATAATAAATAAATATTATACTTAAACATTACCTGGGTAATAAAGGTCGCCAATATATATGGGAACAAAGTGTACGTACGGTTGTGGTGTTCCCTACAAAGTAAGGCTTCCTCTCCTATTAATGTCTATAATATTAAATTATGTTTATTTAAATATAATATGATACATTTTAAAACTATCTATGTAGAAATTAACAATGTAATATTGTGCAGATACCAAACCATATTTTCCAATTTAAAAGCAAAAATCCAAATTGTCAAAAATGTAATTGTAAGTGTTATTGAGACATAGTAAGCAATTACTTTAAAAATGAAATAATGGTGCTTACAGTGAGTGCAACAGTTGACTCTGTCATTGAAGTTCTCGTTGATATCATATTAAGAGCCCCTTTGATATTATCGACGTTGGAGTAGTCATATCCCTGTCCGTAGTAGAGTATCCCAAATAATACTGTCGTACTCTGTGTAAGAAGCAATTTTGCATAGTTGAAAATTTGTATAAATTACAGTAATTGTATATTAATTTTTAAATCATTACCACCATTACAACAAGCCGAGTTTGGATCAAACTGGGATTCCGCATGAAAACAATGTATGTTCGCCACAATACAGTAACCAGTTGTTGCCAATAACCAGCCCTATATCCCGATCCCAGTGTTGCCAAGTTTAATGCAGACATATTATCCACATTATATCCAGGGTTAACTTTATTTGCATTCCATTCGAGATAATTATCACATATTTCCTAAATATTAAGGCAATTTAAATATATATATAAAAATATCTAATTAAATGCATATTGAAATATTACATTGATTTTTCTTTTTGTTTGCGCATAATTACTATCCATTATTGCTATGAAGGGATAAGCGATATAAAGTGATTGAAATATATTAGGCATATGAGTAAAACAAACCCAATTCCCGTAAATAATAATCCGATGGATTGTAGGTTTTTGGGCAAACCTATTGAGTAAATATTAATTTTATTTTTAATTAAATAAATATCTGATAGACCAAAGCCAAACCGACCTCTGAAAAGTTGCTTTTATTTCTTCTTGAAATATTGCTTTTCTGTAAAGTTTGAAATTTATCATGTTTAATATAAGTAAGTTTCAAACTTTACATAAAAGCAATGTTTCAATAAGAAATAAAAGCAACTTTTCAGAGGTCGGTTTTTCTTTGGTCTATCAGATATAATTATAATATCAATATTACTAATCCTTGCGATGAAAAGAAATCTTTTGCTTCGCCTATAAATGCAATGAAATTATTATAAATTTATAATAAATTTATATAAAATATGAATACCGATGGACCCCATGAAAGCTACCCTTCCGTCGGCCATAAGTAATAGACTGTCGAAGAGTTCAAAGACTGGAGACGAGG